CGAGAGGGGAGGGGGATGGTTTCGCCTTTGTGACACTCTGAACAGCTACCGAACACGACGCCAAAAGGAATACTTCGTGTGAGCATAGACAGAAAGCCGCATCGCGTACTGAAAGGACCTCTTTATGGCTTGAGGCTCGTTACTCATTTCGCTCTGTTAAACTTACATAAGAGCGACTCCAAGCAACGTAACGCTAAACTGAGCACTAATTCTTGAGGTCAACTTTAATAACGTGAAGAAAAATAAAAATAAAACTCCACAAAATACTCATTTGTCTCCAGCAAAACAAAAAACAGAACAAAACACGCCTCTCAAAGGTGCAGAACCAAAGAGGCGCACCTTGATGTTGCTGAAGGAGCCCAAGATGTGCACCTTCTGGTCGGCAACGATGATTCGCGTTCGAGTCGCGTTCTCGATTGCGTGTCTCGTCTTGCCTCCCTGCCCGGCGATACGACCGATCGCACGACTGTCGGTTTCACACAACCCCCCCGCCCGACACACAAGACACAAAAATTACACAGAGGAAGTAAGAACAGTGACAGAGGGAGAGAGAGAGAGGGAGAGACAGAGGAGACAGAGGTACATCACAGCACAAAAGGATTGTCGTGGCACCAGCGGAGACCTGCAGGGGTGTTTCGTAAACATGTCGAATACCATTTTGTGTTTTTCTGGCTGGCACCCTTGATATGTCAGTGCATGTAGGCTACAAGAAACTAAAAATGAGTCCAGAATACAGGAGGTTGTTCCCCACGCTCACAGGACTATGCACCTCGATTGGGGCGAAATGTCGACCGAGCATTCTTTCTGCGATTGTACATGTTCTATAAAGTGAGCAAGGGAAAAAGCCAAGCACGTCATCTGTTGCCAAGCCGATGTCAGGAGGGCAGCGTTGGTGCAGACTTGTCTTTGAGCGAAAATGCTATTATATTATTTTATTGAAACAAAATTCTCGAGGTTCTGCTTGAAACACGGGTGGTATACCGAACACCTTTGGCAGTCGCCGCCACTTTGAACCACAGCAGTCAAAGCGACTAACGCGAGGACTCGTCTCCCCCGGCGCTAGCCAACAACAGGCTTTGACAACAGGCTTTGGGTACGTCACACGTGAACGAACACTGTACAACCTCCAAGAAGATGTACCCGTCCCGTTCGAGGTACATTGATACCCCGTTCGAACGGATATATTGGTGTATTTCTCAGTCTTGTACAGCGAGGGCTTAGGGACATATGCCGGATAGCGGTCTTCAATGGGTCTGTGTAACCCTGTACAACGAGGAACTGGGGATATGCGAGCCTTTTTCTCTGAGAAATCGTGTTGCTTGCGGGATGAAACTTGCCAACCTCCAAAGAGCAAGCACATGTGGCGGGCACGCCAATCCTCGCCGTACCCGACATTTCCACACGACAAGTAGCAACGCACACCCGTCATTATCCCCGCCTTGTGCAAGCATTGGGGTGGTTTATGATGTTCCGCCCCCAAACCAACCAAGGATCCCGCATCGCCGAAAGGCGAACACGAAAAAAAAGGGATATGACTACCCCAGGGCCGGCAACACACACGCTACACCATCTCTGACAAAAAAAAAAAAAACAGAATAATACGCCCGCAGAGAACACCCTTCAGTCTTGCGCCCCCACGGGGCCAGAGCTCTTCTCTTGGTGCAGGAAGCATTGTGGGGCACTGTGTAAGATCTGAGTGCGCGGCGGCAAAAAACACACACAGAAATCACACGAGCAGGTATCAAAGGGCACACATCGAGGCTCTCGGAGAAATTGGAGATACCTGAGGTGATCTCCCGTCAGCGTCTTTACGTCTTGCACTTGGAACGAGTCGACGTAGAGGTCGTCCAATCGCAGCAAAGCCACCGCGTCCTGTGAAACAAAGAAACAATCGACGAAAACAAAACAAAAGACATGAGGCAAAGAGGGAAAAAGGAGGGCAAAACCAGCAATACAGCGACATTCTCCGGGGCTGCGGATCGACAGCTTCATCGCCAAAGGCAGGCACACGTTTTTACCACAGCGAGGGGTGGCTTTTGCCCACCGCTTCCCAAGCCGCTTATGATATCTTGTTCGAACTGCGCAGATTTACACCGCCGGTTGTTCTTGACAAGCTAGGCATATTTCAACCCGTTTCGTCTTTCCCCCCTCGTTACCCCCCTTATCCCGCCGCCCGGAAGCCCCACCTGCACTTCGAAGCCGAGCATGAACGCCTGGATGAAATCGGCGGTTTTCTGCAGGGCGGAAGCATCTTCGGTGTGCTTCGACGACTTCAGCTCCACATTTCGTGTCTTTCGGTTGAACCTGCTCAATCGATCAGTAAACAGCGACGATTGACACAGAGGGATGAGAGCGGAATATTAACATACCAGCTACAACACAAGGCGAGGAAAAAAAACACGGGATAACGGCGGGGGGAAAAAAGCCGGAGAAAGGCGGGACACATCGAGGACTACAGTAACACATCTTCACCATATATAAAATAAGACATCGTGGTGTCTGAGAAAAAAAGTGCGTCGATCCGTCCTCGAGGGAGACGCTGTGAGAAGTTTCACTCGAGACAAGACAGCTCTTCCATTTTCAGGAAAATCCTCTACAATGAGCAGGCAACACAGCAGCGAGCGAAAAGAAAACAACGAAAAACGTTGCCTTGGGGGCACGAACCACAACAGGGGGCTCTGACCACACAAGCGTTGTACGAGTGGGCCGCGTTGACCGGTGTGACCGCTGAACACTTCCCATGCCTGCGCACAGGCCACCAGCACGCCAGCTCCAGCCCCTTGCTTCAACCATGGGGGAAAGACGGCAATCGTACATGCAGGCACCGGGAGCGCCACGCCTGACGACAACACCGACAGCTCAAACGACAACACCGCAACCCCCAGAAGCAAGGGATAGCAACGAAAACAACATCAGCAACGTGAACTACACGGGAGGGTCAAGCAAGCCCCTCGCACCTGATCTGGAGCTTCATGTGCTCCACCGTGGGAGTCACGATGTTCTCCCAGCAGTTCCGCAAGGGCGTTAATCGGTGGGGGGGGCAACGAATACTACGGAAGTCGTCCTTGCCGCCTCCCATCTCTCGCGCCGTGAGCGCCGGGAAGTCTGGCCGCGCCGCCGCCGCCGCCGCCGCCGCCGCCTCTCCGTCGGTAGTGCCCATGTCTACGTCTTCTGCTCCGGCTGCTGCTGCTGCTGCATCGGCTTCCACCTGTCACGGCGGTGCACATGCTGCGTGAGTGAACAAAATGGTCCAACCCCAAAAAGCTCCAAGCCCGATGCGCCCAACATCTCTTTTCGGTTTCGCCCAGGAACAACCGAGCAGGCTGTGCCTTCGACAGGGGCATGGCAGCACCGCCTCTTATTGCAATCCGCTTCTACGTTTGACCGCTGCGGTGGCTCCTACTTCTGCTGCAACCCATTCTCGTCCATGAGCTTTGGGGCATGGATTTGATGCCCCAAATTGTAGGGGATTATACAGACGCCGTCTTGTGCGATCGTCATCAGAGCCGTCTTCTTCTTTGTGAAGGAGGGTCCGCACTCAGAGCATATCCTACTACCCATTGAAAGGGGGCGCCGTGCATTGCAACACCTCGACATCTACTGGGCAACCCGTTCACGGACACCCTCAAGGGGTCGTGGTAGACCTGCCTTAGCGTATCGTAGCGATTGCTTGTCTCGACGGTCAAAGCCGGGTTCTCGCCGTGCGAATCGATCCCCAGTCCTTGTTTCCCCTCCAAAACGCGGCGGGGTGCATCCCATGAAGTAAAAAACATCGAATAGCTTCGCCTCGGAACACTGCTGCAATTTTCTGGAGAAGCGCGAAGGTTCCGGGCTAAGCCAGCACAACGTGCCCCCCCCCCCCCCCCCCCCCC